AGAGAGAGAGAGAGAGAGAGAGGTTGAGAGGACAAAAAAGAGGCAAAAAAATAATTGGACAACAGGGAAGCATGATGTAAAACTCACGTACAAGGGAAGAAAGCACCTGTGAGGGAGCGCGTGCGTCCCTCCCCTCCCATCAGCTATTCCTCTCCTGTGCCCTCTCAGCTTACTTAGAGAAGGCGGTGGCGCCAGTGCGTGTCGCTACGCCGCGTTCTGGGGCAGCTTGACAATAAATACCACCGACCCTCCGCGCAGGAACATGTTGCGTATAGACCGCTCCTTCTGCTCATTGTTGACCATTGTTAGCTCCACTACATCGCGGAGGACGAGGTTGAAGTGCTTGTCGAAGGCGACAACCGTGGCGACGAGAGATTTGTTAAAGCGCGACTGAATGAAGACACGGATGCCGTTTCGCATTGCGCTGTCAAGTACGCTGAAGGGACCTTCCGCCACACTTGTCTGCAGGAATTCTTTGGTGGTGACGGGCTTGGGGCCTGACTCCGTCCGCATCGTTTTCGTGGGTCGCTCATCCAACATTGTCCTTGTGTTCCTTCTTGTGCGTTTTCTCCGCCCAAGTAAAAGAAAAAAAAGGAGGGGTGGAGGAGAAAGCGAAAAGGAAAAAAAATGGGAGGAAAGCCACGATGTAGGCGGGCAGATTCTACTTCCCTGCATGCAGCGTGGAGAAGGGAGGTGCCGCAGTCCATATGGCACACTTCTGACGGCTCACAGACACAGCCCCACGTGTAGGGGAAAGCGACGAAGAAAAATAACAAACTAACCCGCCCCCACCGTGCGCCGCACCCACGCGTCAAGGCTGCGTGCGGGTGTGTACCCCAAGTACCCGGCGTGCTCCGTGTGTTTACCATAAAGAACACCGCCACATGTGTAGCCATTCACAAGAACTGGAGCGCCTGACATGCCGTGGTAGCAGCGGCCCTGAGTCGCGCGGCACATCCCGCTGGCGTGCAGCACCTCCACCCGCGACGTGACTGCCACCTGCTCCCCTTCCACGCACTTCAGTTTAGCCAACAATTCGTCGCGCTGCGCTGCAGATAGACGCCGCAGCAAATCTGGGTCTGCCGTGTCCAGCAGTCCCAGAGAGCCCACGCCACGGTAGCCGGAAACGAGACACGAGTCACCCACCGCGGGGTCTGCCGCAGACAACGCGAGGCCACCACCCACCGTCTCTGCCAGTCGTCGCACCTCCTCCGCATGTGCGTTGGGTTCGCTTTTCCCCGAGGAAGCAGCAGCGGCGAAGTTCAGCGCCAGCAGCGCAACATCTAGCGAGGGGTGAAGGGCCACGAGACGCAGGTCCACCTTGCTGCCGGCGATCGCCCGTCCAGCATCATCCGGTAAGTACAGACGCACGACTACAAACCTCGTCTTGCGATACTCCTCCGGTATCTTCAGCCGTGTCGGATCCGCGATGAACTGCCATGGCGCAAAGGTATGCTTCGCGGAGAGGAGGAACTGTCTTCCAGAAGCAGCGGTGCCGTGTGCCGCCTGCAGCAGGAAGGCGGTCCCCATCATAAGCCAGAGCGGCTGCGACATTTTCCCTGGCACGTGCAGAAAACTCATGACAGGAAAACAGCAGCCGTGCCCGCGGGTGGACAGCGCCATTCCTTTGCGCCGCACGCTCGTCCCGCACCCAAGCTAGGAGCAAAGGTATCAAATAGAAGGAAAAAACGAAAAGAAAAAGAAAAGGAAACAAAGAAAAACATACCGTAATAATAATTAAAAAACTTGGGAACAGGAGCGTGGCTAAAGCACGAGCCCAGTCAAAAGCGTCTCCGCCACCCTCCATCAGCATCGCCTAGCGGAATTGACCCTACATGCTCTGCGGGCTTGAACATCGGCGGGGCCCCTCAGCAACTCCGCTGCTCTCCCCCGCCTCCCCTAACTTCTCCCCCTCGGCCCCCGCATCACACCGCGAAGCCGCAGCACACGGCAACTCCCTACTCTCACCCCCAGCGTCTGCAGAGGCGTCGGTCAGGACTGCACGAAACAACTCTTCGTGCAGCTCGAACATTTGACGCTGAAAACCCGGCGCCGCCGAGAGCCTCATAAAGAGCGAGCGACAAGATGGATGCTCGGAGTCGTGGGGGATGTGCTCCTTCGCAAAGGAAAGAAACACCTTGTCCTGCAAAAGAATGGACGACGACGACACTGCCTGTGCCTCATACAACCGCTGCACCAATTCGTAAACCATACCGCACAATTTTTCCCCCTCTTCATGCCCCCGTGAGAGACGCAGAAGAAGCGACAATAACTCCACGAGGCGGTCCGTAACACACAACTGGCACGCAATCTCCGTCACGCCTACATCCTCCAGACGCAACAGCTTGCACAACAAGGACAGGAGGCAAGCATACAGTGAAAAAGGCAGCGCGGACGCACTGAGTAACCGGAGTGCCGCCGTGACAAGGCCCGCCACTGCCCCAAGGGTGGCACGGGTGTGGCAGGCCTCGCTGCGCGCCAGGATGCCGCTCAAGACAACCAGGGCGTCACGGAAGCCTTCCACAGTATTCACTTTTTCTGTCGCAGGTGCAGATGTGGAGGAGCTCGCAAAGAAGAACTGCATGCGGTCCAGCAAAACGGGAACGACAGACGGCCCGGCCTGCGAGATGATGTCAAGGGCAGCGTCGCAAAGCTCCTCATCTGACGCGAGCGTCAGCGCCGTATCAACGAGCAGATCAGGTGAAACGCCATCTTGGGAGGCGTCAATAAGAAACGCGACGCCCTCGACAACATCACAGTTCTGCACTGCGAATGACCGTGGCTCTATTTGCGGCACGTGCCGCGTCACCCGCACCAGCAACGGAAGCAGCTGGAGAGCCTCGCCATGGGTGCTCCCGTCACCCGCATTAGCTGTCACACCACTCTTGACAGCCCCTGTAGACCTCGTCGCAAGAGACGCCTGGCAGCACCGCGTCAACGACGCACACAACAGTCGGAGGAGGTCTTCATCCTCAAACAAGTACGCAGAGCCATCCTGGGAGGCAGCGACGGTCTCTAGGAGGGTGTTCCAGAAGGCATAGGCGTAGCCAGGGACAGTCCCTTCCCACGCCTGTAATCGCCGTGAGGCCAACACGATGATTTCAATCCATTCAAGCGTGACGCTCGACGGCTGTCTGGAAACGATGACAGCCATGATGTTGAGTGAGCCGATGAGATAGAGAGCATCCAGCTCGCTTGGACCGACAGCCTCGCCGAAGGCAAGAACGGAGTTCATGTATTCATAGTCTAAGACAAGCGTGGCCGCCAAGGGGTACGCCTCCGCAAGCAAGGTCAGGGCGCAAATAGCGGCTTTCAAAACCTTCGCATTCGTTCTTGCCTCCGTGGCGATGGTGCCGATGCATGCAAGTGCCTCTTCCGGCAGCAGTCGCATTGCCTCGCCACCCAACAGAGTAATCGTGTTGAGTGCCAGCAGCAACGCTGTTTCTCCATCGTCGCTATTCATCAAGAGCGAAAGGTTAGAATCTTGGCTCATGTCATCCATGGCCCCGCATAGCACCTCGATGCATTTCGATGCCAATATCACATTTCGCCCCTCATCCGAGAACTGGAGCAGCGATTGAAGTAACCGCAGTGCCCCCACAACGACACTGTTGCTGTAGTCTGTAAGCAAATCTTCCAAGAGGACGACGCCACCGAGAAGGAAGAAATGTTCCACTAAACAGTTCTGGTAGTACAAGGGGTCAAACCCCTTGTAATGGCTCCGCTCCTGCGGCTGAGATTGCCGCCGTGGAGCTGCCGCCTTCCACTCCCGCCCACTGACGGCAGAGGCGAGGATTGTGCAAGCGCATGCGCTGACGTTCTCGTCCACACCGCTGGCCGCCACGACCACGGTCTTCAAAGCACCTGGTAGCAACACCAGTAGTGCGGCCGCCATTCCCGGTGGGGCGTGCGGAAGAAACAACAGGCGGGCGATGGCGTGAAGATCCCTCGCCCGGGCCGCACTGTCAAACTGATCTCTCTGTAACGAGCCAAGTGCCGCGCTGAGCGCGGCAACAGGAATATCATCGCTGCCCGTCGCCCACGCCTCGCTGAGCGTTTGCGCCGCGCCCCCGCCTCCGTCCACGTCGGTCGCGCGGGGGCTGGTGAGCATGGCGAGGCAGTCCTGGACGCCCCTGTCGGATTCCGCCGCCGTGAGCCGCAAGACAACGAGTAGCTGCAATGCCCCACTCCTCACAGACTCTTCCTCCCGCACACTCGCGCGGGTGCAAAGGCGTCTCAGCCGTGAGACAACGGCGCCGGACGCCGTGCTCGTCACACTGCAGCACGCCCGCAGCAACCCAAGCGACGCCGCGAGATGGCCAGATGACGCCTGCGTTCCGTCGTTAAACCAAAGGCCGTCCAACCACCACCAAAAGTCATCGTCGCAAAGCAACCGCGACGCAAGTTTTTCGCCCTCGGTGGCCAACTGTACTGCCCAACCAAGCAGCGTGCACGCCAGCTTCGCCAATGCCGTGTCAGGAACGAAGACAAGAGCCACAAACGGAGCAAAATTCTTGCTGATGTTGTCCATCAGCGTGTCAGCACGAGTGCCGGAAACCGCCATGGCAGCCGCAAGCTGCAAGATAGCCCCGTCGACTTCTTCGCAGCAGCCTGCCCGGGACAACAGCGCCGACAGGCACGACGGGCACCCCTGCGCCACATACGACAACAGGGGCCGGCTCGAACTGAACTCTTGCAAAAGCGCCCTGCAGCGATCCAGCAGTCGCGTGTTGTCGCCGCCTCGCCGCGCCTCACGTTCCATTCGCTCCACTTCACGCATCAAAGTCCTGTGCTGCTCGGGAAAGAGCCGAGCAAGTCGCGCCATGATGTGCTGCGCCCGCTTTCGACCCATCTTCCTCGCCTAAAAAAAAACAACAACAACAACTTCTATTTGCCCTTGCGGCTGTTTTCCGTGGAGGCAGAATATGAAATGACAAGAAGGCGACGTGGAGTGCGCGAATATTATCTCTTTTTTGTTGTTGTTTTTGCTGCAGGTGCCGCTGCTGGTCCTCTGCCGATTCGACGCGATTCACCACCACGATCTTTTTGCCTTTTATCCCTCCAAGCTTCCTCTGATTGCTTTCAACTGGATCCACGACTACTGCTGCCGCCACGCAGGCAACTTATTCTTCACACTTTTGCCTCCTACCTTTTGCTTCCCTCCCCTTGCGGTGGTTACCCTGTGTCCTTCCTCGGCTGCTGGTGGACGGCGCAGTCTGCTTCCGCCCCCTTCCCCCCCCTCCCCCTTTTTTTATGTGGTTGCACCCCACACTGCCAGGGTTTTCCCTCTTTTTTTTGTTGTTGCCTTTTTGTTCTGCTTTCCTTCTCTCTCCAAAACAAAACAACCCAAACCAAAGAAAGCGGGAGAGAAGTGCAGCCGGCCTTGTCGCGGAGTCACTGCGGCAGCGCGCTATTCAGAGAGGGCGTCAACGCCCCCGCCATGATCACCACGCCTCCGCACTCGCGTCTGTGCGTGTGCGTGCGTGTGTGTGTGTGTGTCTAGCGCATATGCTTAAAGAAGGCCCCTCCTCTCGGTCCTTTGCATCCCCTTCTTCGAAGGACTCTCCGCCGCCAATTCTTTTTTTTAGTTTTTTCGTTTCCTTTCTCTCTCCTCCCTTCCTTCCTTTCTTCGCTCTTAGGCCTCTCTCCCTTTTTTGCTTCCGTTTTTCCGCCTCCCGCGCCCTCAAGGGTGTACTGCCCCTCTGCTTCTCTTCGTGTAGGTGGTTTACTCGCGTTACTCAGGCGGAGAGGGTGGCGGCCAAACACACCTGCACGCGGGGTGGGGGGAAGACGGGGCGGCCCTCGCCCGCGGCCCCACGACGCCCTCCTCTCGCTTTTGCCACGTGCACACAGAGACGGGAGGCGCCGTCCGTGGGCGCCCCACAGCTAGCGAGGCCGCGCCAGGCCCTTCACAAGTTCACTGACGTGCTCGGCGTTGCGACACTTCACCCACCTGAGGTCGACCCCGCCCTGCCCACCGCTGCGCCGAATTGGGACGCGCACGTAAATGCTGCTGTCATCAATGTGAAGGTAGAAGTTCCGTTCCGTCGTCCCGCCGCGCGTAAACACGCGATAAAATGGCGGCCTCGATTGCTGTGAGACTTCGGCGAAGACATACGTTAGGCCAAGACCGCTCTGGCGCTGGGCCTCCAGCGCATCCTGCACATCCCTGGCACTCTCCACGAAGCGGCGGTGGCTGCGGATGCTCCGCACGAGCAGAACCATCGGTGCGATGAAGTTGTTGAGGAACTCGTCCACGTCATCAAACTCCACCTCGCGACCCGTCACCTTGTCCTTCAGGCGGTAGTAAATGGCCCCGTTCGGACGCCGTTCCTCACTGATGAGCCAGTTGCACGTGGACCTCTCGCCAATCTTCACCACCGCAATCGCCTTGTTGCGCCTGCCCGTCGCCGGGCGAAGAATAACCTCCCCAATCTTTTTGTTATGAAGATATGCTTGTGCCGTGACAGCGGAAGCGTCGCGGAAGAGCGGGTGGCGGGAGATCTTCGTTGCAAAGACACGGGCTTCCATATTCATCCGCAGTGTACCGATGGAGTTTGCGCTGCTCGTCGCATCGTTGGCGCCTGTGGAGTAAGACACGTAATTCTGACCCCCGTCCAAGTCGTCCCTGTCGACACCCTCCGCTTTACCGCGATCGGCATTCGACATGGTGTCACGTGGACGGCACCACCGCAGGCGCAACTCACAGCGCTCCCAATTGCAGCCAACGACAACGCCTTGAATGGGCACACCACGGCGCAGCCACGTTGGGGACGCCACTGACGAGGGAGGTTGCGTCGTGCCGGCATTCTCACGCAAAACTTGTTCATACAAAAGTACATCTTGCTTCATTGTCTCGTCTTCGATGTCTTCCGCGGCGATGAAGGCGCCTAACCCAAACGATGTGGAGAGACGAATACCCGGCACGGCCCCGCCACCGCGCACACCTTGCACCGTCCCCGTCACGTATTCCCCCTCACAGATGACAAGTGAGCGTGTCTCAGCTGAGCGAGTCTCAGCAGAGGCACCGGATTGCGTGCAGTAAACGATGCCCGTCACACATGTCATGAGTTCCCTGTGAGACAGCCGCCGGTATGGCCTTCGCATAAAAGACTGACCTGCCGCTATCATCTCCTCCTGCAGAAACTCTATCTCTCTCTCCCCCAGCAATGAGTCCCACTCGGGACGATGGGCCTCGCGAATGGCGGCGGCCATATCTTGCTGGTGTGCGTGGCGGTCAAGGCGGTAGCGCTTGTCTGAGGTCTCCAGCCGCATAAAGTCCAGAAGCGCAACCAGCCTCGAGGGGACATTTTTAAGTGCCGCCTTCGCAATAAACGCCGCGGCACTGTACCACTCGCGCGGTATCAACGTCTGATCAAGAAGATGCCACCGAAGCGAAGAGCCCCCGTCACCAACAGCGGCGTCAGTTGGGGGGGCCAAGCGCAGCGAAGAAATCGCATTAAGTGAAACATATGTCCCAAACCACTCTGTAAGGAGTTGGCCACACTCTTCACGGCTATTTGGGCGACGCAGCGTCAACAGTTGCTGCAACTTCCGCGCCCTTGATGGACCAAGTCCCGCCACAAACTGCAACGACGCCACGCTCGCAGGTCGAGTAACACATTCCTCGACCCAAAATCCGCATGCAGTGACCCACAAGCTCATTTCCCAGCATAGCCGCGCGTACAGTTGATCCTCCTTCTCGCTTGTTGTGCACACGGTGGCACCAAGTGAAAGACGTAGCGCCGTCCTTTCCTTGTCGAAGAGGACACAAATAGCATGGAGTGGATCCTGTACGTAACGCGCCAGGGCCAACGATGTACGGGAAAGAGAGTCTGCCCCAGGCGTCTCAAGCTCCGCGTAGGTTGTGCTGCTGTACAAACGCGCCACCTCTACTGGGGCCCAGACGACAGGAATGTGAACATGAAAAGTCGCGTGCACGCGTTCCCGTAGAAACCTTAGAAAGGAGCGCATCAATGCAAGTGATGCCACGTTAGAAGCCCCGACGACAAGTACACTAGGGCTGTGCCGTGCACAGAGTTTCTCAAGCTGGTTCTGCTGCAGCAAATCAGCGGCCCGGCCACTCTCAGAACTCATTGCGCAGTCCGCCCACCGCACAGAACCAATAAAGGAGCCATACTCATCAATAAAGCTTATATGTGTCATGCCGTTGTCGCCGCGGTAGGCCGCACACACACGCCCAAAAGGCTTGTGCCCGTTCACCTGCATCCGCGCCAATGGGAGGGCCTCGACGACATTCCACTCCGGCTCCCACGTGAGGGCGTCGTCGTCGTAGGCATCAAGGCAGAGTCGTGTAGGTTCATAGGGGCCTTGAGCACACATCAGGCCAAGACGCTCCACAGCTTGTGTTTGCACGAACTGGTGCGCAAACTGACTGAGTTCCGCCCTCACCTTTGGTACAAGACCATCGATCAGTCGCACCACCAAAAGTTCCATTGCCCGTTGTCGCTCTAAAAACCACTCGTCAGCAGCGGGGGAGCGATCGTACAGCTGGCGCAGATTCATCTCACGGTACACCAGTTCCTCACTTAAAACATAGTAGAGTCCCACTGTGCCTTGTCGTTCGCGCTCCAGTAAATCCAGGTAGTGTCGTGGGTGCTCCACAAAGAAAGTGGCCAAAGGATACATGTCATCTCTCCTTTCACAGAGCTTGTACGTCACAATGAGGTCTCCTTCTGCACAAAAAACATCAAACAAACGTTTTCGGAGAATAGGCAGCTTCGAAAACTGCTCCACAAGAGCCTGGTTAAAAAGGGATAGTACTGCCTCGGCGGAGCGCGGGGCGCGAGCGGTGGCGCCGACCTGGCGTGCCCAATCCATCAATGGTATTGATTGCGGCGACTGACACACGTAAATTGGCGCGTTGGCAAGCAGGTTTTCTTGGTACTGGAGTCCAGTAATAGTATACTCCTCAAAGGCGTCCTCGAGACCGAGCCACCTTAGCACCTGTGTCGGCCCTCGCCCATGACCGGTGGTAAGGAGAGCAGAAAACGTTTGCCAGAGGTCTGCCTCAATGCCGCTCTCAAAGACCAGGCCCTCCAGAGCCACCCGCTGCTCCTGCACGCTTGACTCGGGGTGATCCTTCAGTTTTAACAGCTGCTGCTGCCGCTGACTTTCCAGCCGGTGGCAGAGGACATCAAGCTCAAGGATGCGCACCAGCAAGCGACCCAGTTCCAAAAAGCATGGCTTGCGCTGGGCAAAGTCGCTGTCACTGCCGTCAAGGCGATTCCACGCAGAATTACCCTCACCAATAGAACGATCAGCCAATGAGCTGAAGCCGACGTATGCGTCAGATATGAACGGGCGTTGTCGTCTTCCAGTCTCCACGCTGTAGGCGTAAGAGGAGGCGGGCAGTGTATTTTCTGCCGCCTCCGTGAGTGGCGAATTCTCCAGCAGTGCGCACAGAAGTGGGTGCAACGCAGTCTGGTGATACAGCATCAAATGCGCCGGTTCCATGTATTCCTGCGTCATCTTTCGCACAGCGTAGGCGATAGCCACCACCACCGGCTCGTCTACCACCTCTGCTGGCGGACGGGTTGCAATGGCGCAGATGCGAGTATTGTGCGCCAGTGGCTGGCCAGCGCTACGCAACTGCCGTAGGATCCAGAATGCCTCATATTCAAGTGGTATTTTGTAGGAATAGCCGTGCGGCAGTATCCGCGATCCGAGTGCCGGTCGCCTTTCCCGCACCTCGATGGCCTTGAGCCGCTCCGGCAGCGGATCCTCCGCCATACGTCTGTCCTCCTCGCCAAGGCCGACACGGTGCAGCTCCAGCTCAACGCCGGTGACAGCGGAGTCTGCGGCGGTCACCTCTGCACCCACCACCTCCGCGGTCTCCTCCTGGCGTTGAGTGTCGTTGCGGTGGATCCACGACAAAAACTCCTCGTCGTTCATAAGCTCCGACTCCTCGGTGAATTCGTCGTCGTCGTCCTCCTCCTCATCGGGGCCACCGTATCCATCCTCCGCCGCCTCCGCTCCCTCGTCCGCCCCCTCCACGTATGAGGTGTCCTGCAACTCCATCAAGGCACGTCGGAGGTCTTCCTTTGCCCGCTGCTCCCGCTGACGGTCTGCCGCCGTCTTGAGCCGCCCCACGTGCGCCTCCTCCCCCTCTACCTTCTCGTCGTCGGCGAGGCTGAAGATGACTTCGTTGAACGTCTCGTGGAGGCGCTCAAGGCAGAGCGCAGGGTCGGTGAGACTTGCCACCCACATGGCCCCCGCAAGCACCTCTTCAATGTTGCGTGGCGGCGCTTCCGACGCGACCGCCGCCGCCGCCTCCTCCATCTCCTCCGCCCGCTGCTGCTGATTCCTCGCCCTTGATCCCCTGGCGCCCATCCCGGCGGATGGCAGGCGCAAAAGCGACGGTGAGAAGCAAGAAGCAGAAGAAAAAAAAGGCAGAGGAGAAAAAGAGGTAGTAAACAAGAAACAAAAATGCAGCACGAAAATAAAAATAAATAATAGCATTCCAACTACAAAAAAGGGGGGAACACTCCGGCGAAGCCATACATCCGGTGCGGCACGGCTTGGAATGAGGTGAAGACGTTAACCCCGCAACACGCATGCACAGAGAGAAAAAGGCCGAGACACACCGAAAAAGCATTGGGGGGATGGATAGTATAGGCCTTGCCTTTATCCTAGCAGAATCGAAAAATAAAATTTTAAAATGATATTCTACTTGGGATGCCCTCAAGTAAAAAAAAAAAAGAACGGCAAGGCTCGACCATTCCTCTCACAAGCGCACACACAACGAAACAAGTCAATATCCAAGAACACATTCCACGGAACCCCCACCCGAAGAAGAACAGGGTATCACTTGTCGTCAAACCAATCCAAGCATGGCCCATATTTTTATTGGTATTATTGTTATTGTTGCTGCTGTCTTGCACTCTGCTTTTTGCTGCTCACCGCTTTCCCTTTCCTTGTTGAAGCCGGGGGAAAGAAAGCGCGCAGCAGGTATATGAACTCCTTTTGCTGAAACCATTGACACCAGCGCTCGGTATATGTATTATATGAATGTATGAATATGCCTTGAAACATATTTTATAAAGGTTGAAACTCATAGTTTGCTGCAACTCTTATTACCATGCTTGTTGTACGCGCTACACATGGACTCGTACCGTTCCACGTCCCACCGGCAGCCAAGTGCGACGGGTGATTTCTGCTCCATTTCCGCCACACGCACATCCATCATATTCATCGTGCCGGTCGTTGATCGACCACCGGCGCACTCCATAAGAAACGCCATTGGTGCGGCCTCAAAGAGCAGCCGGAGCTTTACCTTATGGTGAGGACTCTCCGGAGTCATGAAAATTCCGTCGCCCTTCACGAGGATCTGACATACGTCGGCCACCATTCCCCCCGTGTAGCGCAGCGTCGCCCCATCGTTCATGTACGCTGCGACAAGGTCCTTATACCACGGCAAGTACCTCGTCGCACGAAGATTTCCGGGGGCGAATAAAGTCGCCTTTGCCTTGAGAGTGCACGCGGCTTCATGGCGCAGACGGGACCAGCGGTCTCCATGGCAATAAAACTCCATCACAGGCAGATTGCGCAACGCCACAAAGATCACGGTCCGCGGACCGTACACTGCCACAACACTCGCCACCATGTCACGCACATACAACCCAATCGGCGTGGCACCGGGCCAGACGGCAAAGATAGAACCGACAGAAAAATTCGTCGCGATGATGCTGCTGCCATCCAGGGGGTCATAGGAGACCGTATACCGGCCCCGCCCCGCATGCGGTGTGCAAGTAAGCGTCGGTTGCTCCTCCGAGACAAACGCCACAACCTGGCGACAGCCACGGAGCCGGGACGAGATGTGCCTTTCCGCCATAACATCCACCGAAAGCACTTCGTCGCCGAAGGTGTTACTCGCCTGCGCCGCCTTCACAGTGTCTGTGCGGAGGTCAATTGCGACATCGTGGCACGCCTCTGCGATGGCCACAACAACATCGACCACCGACGATGCCGCCCCCTCACGCGCAAGCTCTGCCGCAAGCCCTGCCGCGTCTGCCATCACCGCCGACAGTTCCTTTCCTTTCCTTGAACACAGTATTATCGGTTGCGTGTTGCTTGCGCCACCTTCCCAGCAACACTGCGGCTAACCCCCTCCCCCCAAAGAAAAAAAAAGCGACAGACGCAACTCTCCCCGACAGCCAAACACCTTTAGCCGTTCCTGCATTCATATTTCTCACCAGTGACCCGAGAAGCATTCGCTTTTCGGATTAGCAAATAAGCATTGCCGCAGGAAACGAGTCTTAAACACACAATGGCCAAATACTGCTCCAAAGCCCCACGTTCCCAAAATATAGTAACTTTAAAGGGAAGCAATGAGCCTTTTCCTCATTGCTGACATTATGCCCAGAGAGGTATGTGTTTGGATGCGTGTTTATTCATTCCGTAGCCAATGGAGGAAGAGCAAGTCCAAGACGATCCTCCATCGCTCACACTCCCTCTTGCGCTGCTGGCTGCGTCTGAAGTTGTGGAAGGGCGTTGCTGCGCCCTCGAAAACGATTAAATAAAAAAATGACTCATCCTGCCTCTTCTTCGGAGGCTCGCCTGCGGCGCCGCGGAGGTTGCTGCATCCGCGCTCAGAGAGCGAGATGCCGCACCGCCGGGGGAGCAGCCGCGCACGGTCGCTCTCTCCTTTCTGGGCGTCAATTCCATCGGCGCCCCCCGTTTCTCCTTCCCACGCCACACGCCCAGTGCACAAATACAGTTCCCCCCACGCGCCTGTGGGCTCCGGCGTGAGGGAAATACGGCCCGCAACGCACCCAAGTGGCCGCCCAGGCAAATCACTCGTTGCGTGCTCTCTCCCCACTGCAGCGGCTGCGTGTTCCCGCAGACGGATCCCCCGCCGCCCACAGACGCCGCTTGAAGGCGGGCCCCGCAGGCCGACTACTCTCGGCCGGCTTCCTTGCGCCCCCTTTTCCCCCACTGCCGCGCAGCAGCATCTGAGTGCCGCGCGCCGTCGTGGGCCGCCGCAAAGAGGGCCAATGCATCACGTTGTCTTTGGCCCGGCGGCGCAGAACTGACCACCATCCGCCACGATGCGAGTGCCGCCCGCGCGATTGCCCAGGCGCCGTTGGGCTAGTCCATTGCAATGAATGAGCCCGCGTCTCATCGGCCCCAAGCCTGTCAACACAACACGCGTTGCGACCATCTACACATAACGCTAGCTCCAAGTACAGAAGGTGTTCTGTACTTTTAGGATGTGCACGCAAGCCCCAAATATTCCCCTTCTCATGCTTTCAAAAACAAACAAACAAAAGCATAAACACAACCGGTGTAACTGCATGCGGCGTAAATTTTATCAGACATATATATATATATATATATAATATTTGATTCTCTATTTTCCTTAAAAATATAGACATAACACAACAACATATATACATATATACATATATAGAAATACATATAGTTGAATTAAGCTACGGAGAAATGTGTATCATCAAACATGGCTTGACCCACCTGGATCCATCAGTAAAGGTAGATACATTTAAAACACGCCTGTGCCTGCGTGAGTGCAAGTGCACACCTCATGAGGTTACCATATACATGCAAATAAAGGAAAAAAATGGTAAAAACATACGGCACGAGGAACAGGACGAAAACGCACACGCGCACTCACACTGCGAGAAAAAAAAAGACGGGTAGGGAAATTTGTTCGCAGCGACAAACACCAAAAATCTTCTCTATTCATTTAAACACACACGCACACAATAAACGGTGATGTCAAAACAAAAC